TATATATATATATATATATATATATTTATATTACAAACATATCATATATGATGCAAAATATGTTATACATTAGAATGTTATGTATGCATGTGTATTGGCTTCTTAGGCATTATTTCATAAAATTATTATAAAAATTATAATAATGCTACAATAAGTAATCTATAAACTCAATGTATATCTATAAAAAAAAATTATTAGCAAATACGGCGCAGCTAAGCCTGAAGATTTATGGGCTGTTTTGCAAGATACATTTGATGAATCAGCGGTATCTCAAAACAAATTCAAAATTCAAGAAGTAATGGATACCTGGATAGAACAGAAAGGATATCCTCTTATTACTGTAATTAGAGATCAACATACTGGAAAGATAAAGATTACACAGAAATATTTTCAACCATACGAAAAAATAGGTGTACGTAAGAACCTCATTAGCACAGATATTATGAATATAAAATGGTGGGTACCAATAAATTTTGCAACTCGTACCGATCCAAATTTTTCATCAACCTTAGCAACGCATTGGTTATCACCAAAAGCTGAAGAACTCGTAATTGATGGTATCGACTCACAAGATTGGATTATCGTAAATGTTCAACAAACTGGTAAGACTTATACGTTTTTTATAAAGATTATTTAGATATTAATTTAAAAATTCAATATTTAATAATATATAAATTTGAATTATACTAAAATTTTTTTAAGGTTTTTACCGTGTAAATTATGATACAATAAATTGGTTGAAAATTGTTGACTATCTGAATTCTGAGAATTACACAAAAATACACGTACTGAATCGCGCACGAATAATTAACGATGCGATTCACCTTATGTTTACGGATAAATTAGATCCCAGAATTTTTATGAACCTTACGAAATATTTACGACGTGAAACGGATTATGTAGTATGGTTCTCATTGTTTAAAATTTTGAGAGACGCAACTAAGTATTTTGCTTATAATGGAGGAGGTGAATTGCTTAAGGTAAATTATAACATTACATATAATAAAATGCAAGAATAATTAAAAACTCTATGCAAGAATTATTAAGAAATGTTTCAGATAATATATAAAACATTAAATTAAGTAATAAACTCAATCATTACTGATTTTAAAACCCATTGATATATAAAATTGTTACATAACATATACCGTTTTAATAGTATACATATTCCTATTTTATTATAGTAATTGGTTAAAATGCTGTATATTTTACTTGTATTTATAGTACGAATGTATTATAAAATTGATCAAATTTATATAATTATAGTCATACATTTTGGACTTGATAAACAATATAGTAGAAACTGTAGGTACACAGGATCGTCCGAACGACGATTACTTCACGAAATTCACGAGAAATGCAATTCTTGAGGATGCGTGCGTTTTTGATCATCCTGCATGCTTAAATAAAGCCTATACTCAATTAATTAATTATTTAAACAATTCAACGATATTTTCAAATAGGTAAATACAAAATATTATATATATAAGGAAAGAAAAACAATATGTAATATATGTATTAAAATAATTTGCTACAAAAATTATTTTTGTCTTGTCGAATATTTATTTGCTAAAAGTAAATAATATCGAGAATAATTCTTTTTTATATAACATTTCTAAAAATTCTGTTTTAGAACTTCATTTCATACGAAAAGATGGATATTTTGTAATGGTATAAAACAAGCAAATGAAAGTATTTGGAACAAATTGCTATATTTGTACACGAACATGTCTGAACAAACATTATATTGTCTGGGACATTCTAGAAATCCGACTATTATCGAGAAATTTTTAAATATGACTGTATCTGAAGATGCACCAATCATGAAGAATGATATTCATCGTATTATTTATTCCGTATTAAATGGAGGTTTTCCAAATGTCGATGTAGTCATGGATTTTATTATAAATCACTGGAATAAACTTACAACTATGTAATAATCTTATTATATTATCTAATGTTTCAAAAATTATATATATTCTTTTAATCACAGAATTGTATAACACATTAAATTTTTTATTACAGCGTTGATCCAGTGGATTTAGTATATGATATTAGTTGGAGTGTTGTATCCAGGAAACAAATTCAAAAGGTACAAATTTTGCATGAAAGTCATAAAAAATATATAATATTATATGTATAAATATTTTTTTTTTTAAAGAAATTTTTAG